GAGGTAAGTGGGATCTGAACAAGTTGGATGGGTTGTATCTTGGCAGGACCAGGACTAAAATCTCTGCAGCGAGATTTGCTAGTGCTGTTGGGAGCAGTTTACACTAGATTTGCAGGAAAATGGGAACCTAAGAAGTTGTTTTGATTCAAGGAGTCATACTTCGGTCCAACTAGTCCATGCTGACCATAATCACAAATGAAACTAGTCCCACCTGCCTGCATTTGACCCATATCCCTCCAAAAACTTTTCCCAAACATATACTTATCTAAATGTCTTGCAAACATTGTAACTGCAGCCTTATTGACCACTTCCTCATTCAGCATGCGAACCACTGCATAAAAAATTTGCCCCTTGTACTTTTTAAAATCTCTTTCCTCTCACCTGCAAAATATGCCCCCAGTCTTGAAGTCCCCCATCCTAGGGTTTCAAGGTAAGTAAAACTAGTAAAAGGAAATTGAACAGTCAACAAAAACAGAACAGCAAAGCTCTGCAAGCATTAAATATAATCAAAATGGAGAGCAAAGTTCAAATGCTGATTTGTAGACAATTTTTTTTTAAGGTGTTTAGCATTTTCAAAAATGTTGATGATTTGAATGCACAGTGAGGGAAATAAATATTAATTAACTGGCATTATAAACTCATGGCTAACGACGGAGATCGGGAATCAAAAATGCAAAGATATTTACAACTACAAGGGATAGACAAAAAGGGAAAACAGTTGGGGTAACACTCCTCATCGAGGATGACGTTGGTACATTAATAAGACGGGATCAAGTCATGAAATGTTTGTGTCACAGCAAAACAGAGAGAAGATTTATTTATAGAACGTCAAACTGTAATGCAAATGTTCAGCGTACTTTGAAATCAGGTAAGCAGCGATGCATGTAATGTGGATAACAGTGACATTGGGCAACTTCAAATTTGTAAATTGACTTGGTTAACCAAGTCAGCAATAACGGTGTGGAGGATGAATTCTTTGAGTACTTACAGGACGAATTTCTCTTACAATATGTTGAGGACCTAACTGGGGATCAGGCAATTTTTGATTTGATATTGCATAGTGGTAGTAGTGGTAATTAACCTTTCTGTACAGGAACTTTTGAGAAATAGTGAAAGGATGAATGTGACATGGTTCACTGTGAAACTAGGGCCTTAAATCTGAGTAAACAAAACTAAGAGCATGAAGGGAGTACTGGCTAGATCATTTGGGAAATTACACTGAAAGTTTTGATGGTAGATGGTCAGTGGCTTGCTTGCATTTAAAGAAATGCCACAATGTTTACAACAGATATACAGGTCTCTGAGGAACAACACTCAAAAGGAAGGTGACTCAACCATGGTTAATAGAGTGAGTTGAAGATTTCAAAAGATCAAAGGAAGTGGTTTATAAGAATGCCAGAAACAGTGGAAAGCCTGGGGATTGGGAGCAATTTGTGACCCAGCAAACGAGGGCCAAGAAACTAATAAAGAAAAGGAAAAACGAGAGCATGAATGCAACGTAGTGACGAATATAAAGTCAGAGTGTAAAATATTCTGTCGATCTGTGATAGGAAAAGGATTTGCAAGGATAAGTGTAGGCCAATTGCAAATGGAGACAGGAGAATCTTGTGGAGAACAGATAAATCATGGAGAAACTAAATGGTTACTTTGCACCTTCGTGGAAGATGGCACGGAAAATCTATTTGCAATACTAGGTGACCGAGGGACATGTGTTACTGATGTGCCAAAAGAAATTAACATTAGTAAGAAGGCAATGTTTGAACAACAAGCTAAATTGAAAGTTGATACATTTCCTTGACCAGAAGCATTTTACTCCAAGGTGCTGAAGGAGAAACCAATAGGGATAGCTAATCAATTGATGGTTATCTTTCATAATTGCATAGATTCTCAAGGAGTTCCCGCTCTCAGGGAGGTATCAATTGCAGCCCCAGCATTTGGGGAGGGGGAGGGGGAGAGGGAGTGAGGGAGAGGGAGAGGGAGAGGGAGTGAGGG